TTGTCTGCCTTTGTATAAGCAGAACATACACACAGGGAAAATAACGTGCACCCTGTGTATATATATAAGGTTTTATTCAGATGTTTGGTAACCCGGAAAATATATTCTGCACACCCGGCATCACCACATCCATCATCGCCCTCGCGGCGGCTGTGGCTGGTATAGTCACGTGCCTACATTGCAGTCGATACCGGCGAATCGGGAATAAATCGAGTGAGAAATCAATCCCCACCACCCTGTTGTTTACATCACGCAGGAGACCACAAGCACACCATCGATACACGCACCCCAGTCTTACCGGAGACCCGGCGAAACATAAACCAGCGAGAAATTAATCTCCTGTTGTTTACATAACGCATGAGACAAAAGCAGAACACCCGGAATTTTTTTTTTATCATCCGGCACACCACATCCAGTATCCTCCCACTCTCTACGGTCGTACCGACTGCTACTTACTGGAGACCCGGTGAAACATAAACCAGCGAGAAATTAAGCCCCTGGCCTTAAAGACATCACAGATGGACACAACAAACACACACACACACTGGTAATTTAAATTCATAAATATTGCAAACAATCGTCATGTCCCACGGAAAGCTTCAACTTGCACAATACCGGAACACCCCCTCTCTCTCTCTCGCTTCACATCGATAACGCAACACGAACAGCTGTGAATGTTTTACCAACCGGCACACCACATCGAGTTCAACACCGCGAAGTCGACGCAACGAGCACACAGCTCCCACCACCCCACCTCCACTCCACCTTGTTGTCGTTCTCCATGCTGCCGGTGGCGGGCAGATCCGCAGTAGCAGCGGAACCCCGGCGGAATGCGAATGTGAAGAGGGGGGGGGGTGACCGTGGGGGGGTGGGGGGCTCCTCCCTCCATCCCCCTCTTCCCCCCTCCCCCTGCCCCTCCCTCCCAGCGCTAGCCTCACGCACAACGGAACGTCACCATAGGGACTCCAAAGACAAAGATCCCCCCCCCCCCCGTATAGCCTCAGCAGACTGTTGGGGCAAGTGCCGTTTATCGAGCACCTATGAAGGCCGGTACGGCACACGAGGGGGTGGGTGGCCAGCACCACGCCCGGCCGCCTCTGCCTCCCTTAAACCAGCGATGTTTACACATCGCACCAGGTACTCATTTGAGGCTGAGTCGACCTAGGGGAGGCCCAGGACCGGTTCAAATAATCGTCACTGGTGGTAGCCGTTAGTGGAAATCGACCTAAGGTCGCCAAGTTCATAGCGCAGCACGCTAACCGCTGCACCACCGCTCCAGGCACACACACTGACACACACACACTGACACACACACTGACACACTGACACACAAAGATAAATATCCCCCGTGTAGCCTTTAACAGACTGTAGGGGCAAATGCTGTTAGCGAGCACCTATGAAGGCCGGCACAACACACGAGGGGGTGGGTGGCCAGCACCACGCCCGACCGCCTTTGTCTCCCTGGTGACGATGTTTACACACCGCACCAGATACTCATTTGAGGCTGAGTCGACCTAGGGGAGGCCCGGGACCGGTTCAGATAATCGTCACTGGTGTTGGTCGTGAGCGGGAATCGAACCCGTGTCACCGGGTTCATAGCGCAGCGCGCTAACCGCTACACTACCGCTCCCCACCTCCTAGGTCGACTCAGCATCAAATGCGTACCTGGCGCGGTGTGCAGTAAACATCGCCGCTGGGGAGACAATGACGGCCAGGTGTGGTGCTGGCCACTCATAGGTGCTCGCTTACAGCACTTGCCCCAACAGTCTGTTAAGGCTATACGGGGGATCTTTGTCTTTTGGACAGAGCCATGCAGCCAGAGCGGTGGGTGATGAGGGTAACACAACAACAACAATAATAACAAAACAAATACGAGGCGGGCTACGCGTTGTTGTTCTGCAAATGAAAATGAACAGCACAGCTGTCAACCCATTCGGTTCACGCCGTATTCTTGTACAGGGAAATTGAGTTTGCAGCCGTTTCAATACGGGCAAACATAAGTGGTCTGCTTGTGTTTCCTGTGATGGGACTTTGTAGGATGAAAGTTGAGATTTATAAAGGCACGGGGTGACCAATAAGATCTGAATTGGTCTGTAATAAGCTAGGCACTGAGTAGGGGTTGACAGGTATGTAGTAGTGTAGTATATAGTGTAGTATATAGTGTAGTGTATAGTGTAGTATATAGTATGTAGTATATAGTATGTAGTATATAGTGTAGTGTATAGTGTAGTGTATAGTGTAGTATATAGTATGTAGTATATAGTGTAGTGTATATTGTATAGTATGTAGTGTATAGTGTAGTGTATAGTGTAGTATATAGTGTAGTGTATAGTGTAGTATATAGTATGTAGTGTATAGTGTAGTGTATAGTGTAGTGTATAGTATGTAGTATATAGTATGTAGTATATAGTATGTAGTATATAGTATGTAGTATATAGTATGTAGTATATAGTGTAGTGTATAGTATGTAGTATATAGTGTAGTGTATAGTGTAGTGTATAGTATGTAGTATATAGTATGTAGTATATAGTGTAGTGTATAGTGTAGTGTATAGTATGTAGTATATAGTATGTATTATATAGTGTAGTGTATAGTGTAGTGTATAGTGTAGTGTATAGGATAAACGTTGAGATATATAAGGGCACGGGATGACCAATAAGGCCTGATTTGGTCTGTAATAAGCTAGGCACTGAGTATTTTATACCTACGTGACTTTACCGAAAGAACCAAAGAGTATGGATTCCTAAAAGCTTCAAATCTCGACTGAGTAGGGGTTGACAGGTCTGAATCGGACAGCTGCCATCGTGGTCGTACCCTTCCCATGATCCTCCGGTTCTCGGAGACCTCATAGTGCGTCTGCCTTTTCATGTAATCATAAAAATGACGAGATAATAATGTATCGTGAGATGTTTTTGTTTTAGTGTCCTCTAGGATGTAAAGAATACTCTGGCGAAAGAATGACATTCATTAGGAGCACAAATTGAAATGTTGAGCCGTGGTCAGCCTTCTGTATTCGTTCCACGGTGTCGCTATCTATTTTTAAACGTCTTCCCAACTTGCTCTTGCGCCGTTTCAAACTCAATGTTTATTTAACGACACCGAAAATTCAGTGTAGCCAGTTACCCAGCTAGCTTCAGTGGCCTCTTCGGTGTCGCTATCTATGTTTAAACGTCTTCCCAACTTGCTCTTGCGCCGTTTCAAACTCAATGTTTATTTAACGACACCGAAAATTCAGTGTAGCCAGTTACCCAGCTAGCTTCAGTGGCCTCTTCGGTGTCGCTATCTATGTTTAAACGTCTTCCCAACTTCCTCTTGCGCCGTTTCAAACTCAATGTTTATTTAACGACACCGAAAATTCAGTGTAACCAGTTACCCAGCTAGCTTCAGTGGCCTGTTCGGTGTCGCTATCGTTAAACGTCTTCCCAACTTGCTCTTGCGCCGTTTCAAACTCAATGTTGATTTGCGACACGGAAAATACAGCCAGGAAACCAGCGGCATGGACAATGATTTATGTATGGGTGTATGTTGAACTTCGTTGGCAGCAGTATGAAATTCGCGAAATTCCTTCATCAGAGGCGGTTACTGTGTCACACAACAAGCATGCGGGATTTGTTTATTTATTTATTATAAACGAGCAATGATAAATCAGTGCAAATGGAATTAGCGCAGAGCGATCCTCACGACGGAAGGCGCTGCTGTGTCGCACCAGAGGATGGCGGTGCTGCTGCTGCCGCTGCATGATCCCAGTTCAGTTATTTTTTCGAATTTGAAAATAAATAAAAACCAAACTGGACTATGACGCCGGCAAAAATACGGCCTCTTCGAATGAATTCAGGGGGATCTTCAACTTCAACTGTGAAGCATACGGGCGCGTATTACATCGGTGATGCACCCGCGCAAGTATTAACCAGAGCGGCCTGCTGGATTCGAACCGCAATAAAAGCGACCAACGCGCTGCCGCTAGACCGCGCCACCGACCCCTGACCCACGACTTGTTTTTTTGTCAAAAATTCACAGCTGCATTCGTCTTTCCCCAAAACACCGTGCGGGTCATTGAGTTGCCATATACTTCACCACGTGAATGTGTGACGACATCAGCGTTCATTTGTTTTGATGAACAGAATCAGCGGTGGAGATATTCATCAACACAGTGGCTTTGTTTCGTGTCAACGGTGACAATGACAGGATTAAAAGCATCGAGCGCGATAACGACCGCTGCGGTTGCTCATCAAAAAAATCACCTTAAAATCACCATCACCATCATCACCACCACTATCATCATCACCACCATTATCTCTACCACCATCTCTACCACCATCACCACCATCACCATCATCACCACCACCAACACCACTATCATCACCGTCATCACCACCACTATCACCACCACTATCACTATCACCACCACCATCACTACCACCATCACTATCATCACTACCACCATCACCATCATCACTATCATAACCATCAACACCACTATCATCACCGTTATCACCACCACTATCACCACCACTATCACCACCACCATCACTACCACCATCACTATCACCACTACCACCATCATCACCATCATCAACACCACTATCATCATCACCACCATCACCACCATCACCACAACCGCCATCACCCGCGACTGCAGCCTGACGAACTGTGACGAGTTTAAATCCTCGAGTCCAAGTGAAGGCGCAGACCGAGATAATCCGGTAACGTTACCAGACTCTGCGGTGCGCTGCGCACGACCAAGCCGGGAGTCGGCCGTGTTCGCATTGACCACGATTCACCCAGTTCACTCGACTTGGCTGATACATTATGGGCTCAGCACCGCTTCAGGTATCACCCGCCCCTGACCTTTAGCCGGCGGTTGAGAATTGAACTCGGGTCGCAGAACTGAACAGCGCAGTGCGCAAACCGCCGCTCCACCGCTCCCCGTTAACCGCCCCTCCACCCCGCCTGTAACGAGGATGATGCTCGCGATGATGAGTGGCGCGCGCGACTCTTACCGACATTGCTGCTTCTTGACGTTCCGCAAAACCTTGTCCGATCCGCCGAGCCTCCTCGATCCTCGCTGGCCCGCAGATCCGACTCAAGCGCTTACCATGAACACCGCTCGCAACCTTCTCCCCACCCCACCCCACTCCGTCTCGTCTAAGCAGACATCTCTCTCTCCTTTTCGACGCTCGCTGCCAAAGCCCGCTTTAGTCGGAGTGCGAGGGCGCAACTGGTAAGAGGAGCTCGGCAGAAATAGCCCGTGGCGCGCGCACTCCCGTTGATGATCACCTCCACAAATTTCTCCCCAAAAATAAAAAATATATATAAACGACCTCCCCGCGCTGCTGTGTGTGTCAGCGCACTCGGACGAGCGCGGCGGAGTGCCGCGCGAATTATTCCGGGTGCGCGTTGGCGCCGCCGATCCGGTGTCAACGCTTTTTTTTTGTTTGACCGAGGACGTCAACCCCCTAGGCAATCTCCGTTTCTCGCAGAAACACGAAGCTGCCGACCCCCTCCCGGTGGGGAGGGAGGGGGGGTTGGTACGAGATGACGGCGAATGGAACGTGCGGATTACATCATAGACGAAGGAGGGATATGGACGGCGGTGACTCGAGTCAAATGTTGAGGGAGGGGAGGGGAGGGCAGGGGGCTCAGGAGGTGATAGTGGTGAGCGTTCGAATCCAGGTTTCAGCCACTGCCCGTGATAAAACTGGGTTCTCGAGTGTGGCGAGTTGATGGTATCAGCCCGCACGCAAAAAAACCCCACATCACATTAAATCTGACTCGGTGCTTTATTTGGCTAAATTCCAGATTTGGCAATTAAATACCGTATTAGTTTAACTGCCATTCAACGAGCATTACTCTCATATGCAGAGTGGGTGAGGCAGCACTTCCCCGTACTGTACTGTGGACCAGAGGATTACTAGAAGGGATGTCAGAGGTAGCTCCGTCACATCCACTTCCACGGGCCGTTCTCCAACACAGAGGGTTGCACTGCTCCATTAATGGATTCCTCATCTCATAACGCCGACAGCGAAATCGGAATAAAATTGGGGAAGGGTAAAGAATATAAAGCCAGCGGTTATGAATACTAAAATGGGTTCTCGTCTCTGTCGCAGTTCTATGGTTGGGGCAAGTCTCGCCGTAGGACAATCACTGTCGAATTGTCAGCAAGCGGCAATTGGAAACAAATCCAAGCAGCTACCGTGAGGGCGCGACGTTACCTATCGGCATGGGGATTGGGTTGGTCCAGGATTCATGGGGGGGGGGGGGGGGGGAGATTCCCAGGGTACACTCGGGTTGTGGAGGCAAGCGGTGATAGTGCTGGCCTCCATCAAGAGGGCCCTCTTCTGTGTGGCCTCAAACTCAGGACAAGGACATCGAGTGTCGTGGCAGTGCTCGGGTTGTGGAGGCAAGCGGTGGTAGTGATGGCCTCCATCAAGAAGACCCTCTCCTTTGTGACCTCAAACTCAGGACAAGGACATCGAGTGTCGTGGCAGTGTCCGGGTTGTGGAGGCAAGCGGTGATAGTGCTGGCCTCCATCAAGAGGGCCCTCTTCTTTGTGGCCTCAAACTCAGGACAAGGACATCGAGTGTCGTGGCAGTGTTCCACATCGCTGTGCTGCTTGCCGGAAGCACCGGCTGCAATTACCGAGCCGGGAAAGCCTCTTTCTCAGGAGGGTCCTGCTACAATGGCATGTTTGGCTAACTGCGTTAAATTTGGAGTTTGGCTTCGTGCGCGAGAGATAACCAGAGGAGCTGGAGAAACCCCAGCACCGCGCTGCTGTACACGAGGGGGTGGCACTCAGCGCTGTCATCTCCTGGCCACACCTCGCAGCCACCACGCCTACAACACCTGGCAAGCCCTGGCGGCAGTGACCCATCGGCGTGCTAACCAGGCTCAACACTGCTTAGCTTGTAGGGATTTTATGAGATCGGGCACATTTAGGGGAACAAAAAATCCAGCAGTGGATTGACAAAGAGATCTGCGCCTACAATGACCGGTTACATCTGACGCACACTGCAAAACTCTGGCAACTGCTGATACGCAGTGCAGCGGTCCTCGACAGCAATGCTGGCCAGGTTTATTGCAGATACGCGAATCCTAAACAAAAGGCTATTTGCATTTACATATGACCGCCGTAATACAGATCGCGAAAGCCTACGTGTTGAACCAAACACGATCGCCGCTCGTTTCTAAAACTGCACCGTGACTTGGCTTTTTACAAAAAATTCTTTTTTTTTTAAAGGGAATTTTGTCGACCGGTCAGCTGAGACCCCGAGCGTCCCATTATTACCCCCGACACTGTGACCCCCCTCGACCCGCGCCGTGAACGTGAACGTGATGTTTGCGGTGGAAATGCGCGCAAGCACCTTGCAAAACACATGGTGGCGAGCCATTGTGTTTGCCCGTATTGTCTCCCGCCCCGCGGGGCCCGTTTTACCCAAAACAGCGTACGAAGCAAGAGAACAAAAATAACCGGACAGCCGCAGAGCGCGAGATCATCGCGTTCGCAACCGGCGGCGCCCGAGCCACCAAATTGACGAAAATGCCGAGCGCGCCGGTAACGCGTCCATTGCAAAGCAGCGTGGTGTTGTCCCATGGGGGACAGCGATCATGGCCCCCCACCTGCTCGCTCCACAGTTACATCACCGAGCGGTTTAGAAGGTGACAGGGCGTGGGTGGGGGGGGGGGGTTTCCACTGCAAAATCCGAGCCGTGCCGCTGACGTCACACGCAATGAACGAGACGCGTGTGGACGATGCTTGTTCGACTTCTTTCACACCGTACGTAGCCAAACCGTGCTAATCGGAGGTGCGGGGGAAGGACAACAAACGAGGCACGCCGCTTCCTCACGACGTCACACACCACGAGCGAGTCATCTAGCCCCTTCCCTGGCCCTGCTTGGCCCCGACACAGATTCAGACGTCTTGTGTAGCCAGCTCGCTCATCGTGGCGTTGCGGCAATCAACCAGTGGAAAACCACCCGTACCGGTGAGGGCCTCGCGCTGGCTCGGATGTGCCAGTGCAGACGGGCAGATAGCCAACCCGAGACGACAGCTGCCAATTCTGGCAGGAGCCCGATTTATGCGTGCCTCGTGGGCAGCCCTGGAATCTCTACCGGTCTTCTTCGTCGCGTACCCTTGTCCAACCTATACGGGTCTCTTCCCCAATATTCTGCACAGTCCACCGCGTCTGGTGTTGGCATTGCCAGTTCTTGAGGAAGTGCATCGTGGTGCTGCAGGGCATCTCAGGAGACGATCCATGGTGTGATCAGTGAACATTCATCAAAGTGTGTTTTGTTGTCTCGATTCATTGCAGGGTTCTTCTTGGACGAATTTCGCAAACGACGGATATAAGATGACCCCTCATCCCCCTTCCCCATGAATAAGAAAAACATATTAATAACGATAGGAGATACACAACAAATACTTAAATTTCGATTTAAAGCTTTCGTGACTGCAGGGATTCATCTTCTTGGTTCTTTCGGTAAAGTCACGTAGAAGGGAAGTAATAAAATAATAAAAATAAAACACAATAAAATAATTCTCACGACGTTTTGGCCACAACGCAAGCAGCCGTCCTCATGTGAAAACCAGGTCCGTTTTCACATGAGGACGGCTGCTTGCGTTGTGGCCGAAACGTCGTGAGAATTATTTTATTGTGTTTTATTTTTATTATTTTATTACTTCCCTTCTACGTGACTTTACCGAAAGAACCAAGAAAACAAATACTTACTTTAAGAATAATTAAAAAATGTTAATGCCAGTGTTAAAATAAATTAAATTTCCCCATGCCTCCTGATTTTTGGGCCACTCAAACACACGTGGCAGATGGCGCCACTCTGGCGTGTAGTGACCGCACAGAGCGCGCGTGACGATCAACATTGTTCGCGAATTTTTCTCCGTTTAAATGAGCATCAATTTTACATGAGATGGGTGCACCCGACACCAGGTGTTCGTTTATGAATTTAGCAGGTGCTGGACTCAGTTGCAGTGACTGATCAAAGACAGGTATTGATATAATATATAATTATATACACACGCGCGCGCTCACACACGGTTCAGGAGGTTACCTAAAGTCAGATGTATCTTCTTCTTGGCTCTTTTGGTAAAGTCACGTAGAAGGGAAGTAATAAAATAATAAAAATAAAACATAATAAAATAATTCTCACGACGTTTCGGCCGCTGTCTCCCCGACAGACCTGTTCTTCACCTGATGACGGCTGCTTGCGTTGTGGCCGAAACGTCGTGAGAATTATTTTATTATGTTTTATTTTTATTATTTTATTACTTCCCTTCTACGTGACTTTACCGAAAGAACCAAGAAGATGAATCCCTGCAGTCACGAAAGCTTTAAATCGAAATTCAGATGTATCTTGATATGATACATCACACGCTTTCGTCATTCAGGCTTGTGCCACGTTATATCACCAAAAGATTATAACGCGATTCGACCTCGCTTGTAAAATGTATAACGGATCTCTGTCTTCCTTGTGGTGTAATAAGAAAATCTCGCGATGAAAGTGAATTCCTGCTGCTCACAATGGGACGTGTTGGGGCATCGGGGCTCCTTCTTCTGCGGACAGCCTCTGTGGAATTTCGTGGCCTCTTTCCCCAACCTCCAAGCTCTTACAATGAACAACCTCGCCCTGCACCATTGGAACCTCATTTGCCAGTAAAAATATGATAATTGTTTTTTTACCTTCTATCTGGCAACAAAACTGACACCTTTTTACAAGGAGTCATGTTTGCATAAACCACAATACCTGCAGTCATAATGCAAACAAAAAACACAACTCTGATAATGTGCACTGTCCTTGAAGTTGATTGGTCCACACCCGAGACAGCTTTCCTTAGAGCCTAGTCTCACATGGGTTGGACCAAATGACGCCAAAAAGGTATTGTGGTCTATGCAAACATAACTCCTTGTAAAAAGGTGTCAGTTTTGTTGCCAGATAGAAGGGTAAAAAAACCAATTATCAATTATCAACCTGGCCCTGCTTCAGAAACGCGTTAATTTACTCTTATCACATCTATTACAACTTCGAAAGTGCAGTTTTCTGCTGCTCGTCCGACGTTTTTTCCCCCGTTTGTGTCCTGGCGCAGCAAGTGGGTGGGTCTCAACGGTCTAAATCAGGGGTCAGAAACCTGCGTCTCTTTGAGGTTGACCTCGTGACGTTACTTATCAAGGACAGTCTCGCGTGTTCACCCACGCGCATTGGCGGCTCTTGAAATATTGAAACTGAGTTTTTCTTTTTTTTTACACGCTTTTATTTAATTCACTTTGTCTGTTGTATCCTCAAATCTTGCAACCCAATTTTAACCCACTTCCCAATGTCGTATCGACTGCAAACTTGGTATACGTATGTCATACTGATGACAATACTATTATTGAAAATAAAAATCATTTTTTTCAGAAATCTTTTTGAAATCTTGGGTCTAATTGTCCACGCTCAACTAACGTTGGCTGTAAATCACCACAGTCCCTTACGTTATGGCAAGCTTCGGGGCCACTTCCTGGAGTCGTGGAGTTCTGCCATTACTCGTACGGTACATTTAATTAAAGCGTGTTTTTAAAAAAAAAGTATTTTGAAATATTACTAATTTTTACTTACCAAAGTCGACCCAAACAAAAATGTATCTTCTCGTTACTTTGGGTTGCCGACCCCTTGGTCTAAACAAAGGGCATTTAATCAGCAGTTGGGGTCATCAGACACCGCGGGGTGACATTGACACCGTGGCAAAAAAAATGTCGCAATGAAATTTCCACGCAACGTGCAACAACGTCACGGGGGTGTTGAGTGGACCCCACCTCTCCGCTCTGTCGCTCATCACCTGCAACAGCTGCCCCTGCATCCACTCCTGCTGTAGCTGCTGCTGCTGCTGCTACTGCAGCGGCAGAAATAACCTCGACTGATGAGTGTGTGGTGGGTGACTCATCGGACTGGTGTGCCCCAACAGATCAGCTTTCCCAGCCATGACGTCAGCCACTTTAATACCAGTCTACAGTCTACATTATAGACAGGCTACAGTCTACATTATAGACTGCCAGTACACTCACCAAACTTAATATCCAGGCTACAGTCTACATTATAGACTGCCAGTACACTCACCAAACTGAATAACCAGGCTACAGTCTGCATTATAGACTGCCAGTACACTCACCAAACTTAATAACCAGGCTACAGTCTACATTATAGACTACCAGTACACTCACCAAACTTAATAACCATTGCTACAGTCTACATTATAGACTGCCAGTACACTCACCAAACTTAATATCCAGGCTACAATCTACATTATAGACTGCCAGTACACTCACCAAACTTAATAACCAGGCTACAATCTGCATTATAGATTGCCAGTACACTCACTCCGATTAAGAACCAGGCTGCAGTCTACATTCGTGTTTTTTTTTGTTTTTTATTCACTTTTAATTTAATTTTTCTATCTACATGACTTTATCGAAAGAGCCATAGAATATGAATTCCTGCAGTCACGAAAGTTTTAAGTCAAAATTTAAGCTGTGTAGAGTTGGTCAGACAAGACTCGTTCGTGTAGGGCTTTAGTAACTTATTAATCTTAACTATTACTTAAATGACACTATCACGTAATCTGTATTTCACTCCACTATTCATATATTAAATCACGTGTCTGTTATTTCAAAATATTAGCCCACAATATTAACAGCCCCTCTTCAGGAAGAAGTTTTGCGTTGGAGGCCTTACCTGTCGGTTTAGCCTCCACCTTCCAAAGCTTCACAAACTTCACCAAACTCGAACCAACAACTGGACGTCGTGAAAATACTTCATTTAAATTCCCCGTGTGTGCGAGGCGTATACACAAAGCCCCCTGGAGGTCACCCTTTGAAGAGGACTGACGCAGCTTCGTGTCACTGTGCCACGTTGTTTACCTGCGTGGCGCGCGGAATCATGTTGCAAGTGCAGCCAGGGCCAAAGTGGGTTCAACGCAGAGCGGGGGAGGCTGCAGTCGCTACCGTCAACACAATCTTATTGCCCCATCGATTATCACGCGACCAATTATCCACACCGTCGTTTGTCAATGATCACACACCGGCTCCGCGATTAGCTGAGCACAATGACTTCTCGAACCAATGCACAGTGCACACGTGCCCCCCCCCCCCCCCCCAGATCATTAATAACCACGATTACTTATTGACATCATGATTATAATTTAAATTGCTCATTACAGAAGAAAGGGGGGTTAGTTGGGAAGCAATTAATCGTGATTGGAAGAATACGAGTGTGTGTGTGTTAGTACGAGTGTGTGTGTGCAAGTTGGCACAGTAGGGGGCACAGGTGGTGCATCAGCCAGTCGTCTCAGTCAGTCGACCCGTGGCATCTGCTGGGTCTGCCCCGTGACCTCCTGCCAGCGGGCGTTCGACACTTCACGTGGCCTCAAGGTGCACATAGCCTGGCACAAGCGTCGTGGTGACGCTTAATTTTTTTTTGTAAGACTAAACAAATTGTTTGGCGATGCTACTGCTGCTGCAGTGGCAGTGGCGCACAAGCACAGCCAACAACAACAGCAGCTACTCGTCACAAGCACAGCCAACAACAACAACAGCAGCAACTCGGCACAAGCACAGCCAACAACAACAACAGCAGCTACTCGTCACAAGCACAGCCAACAACAACAACAACAGCTACTCGTCACAAGCACAGCCAGCAACAACAGAAACTCGGCACAAGCACAGCCAACAACAGCAACTCGGCACAAACACAGCCAACAACAACAACAGCAACTCGGCACCATTCGTCAACAACAACAACAGCAACTCGGCACCATTCGTCAACAACAACAGCAACTCGGCACAAGCACAGCCAACAACAGCAGCTACTCGTCACAAGCACAGCCAACAACAACAACTCGGCACCATTCGTCAACAACAACAACAAACGCGACACACGCGCGTGGCCTTAACAGGAAAACGACGTCTGCCACGCGAATTTCGGCGGCGACCTTCTCCGGATAAGGGCCACTGCTCGAAACGTCGCCAATCGTTGTCGTCAGTCAAGAGAGCGCGGGGTCTGAGACCGAGGGATGTCCCGAGAGTATTGACGTGTGTACGAGTATGCGGCCTCGGTGAGTCTCACAGATGCCGATTCAGGACAGGGGGCCTCCGTCTCGCCCATGGTGTCGCAGGAGCCAAAGTTGGCGTGGTGGATGGGACGGGGCGAACCGACTCCGATGTGCACGTGGCCCGCTTGTTCTATCCACTGCTGGACTAGAGTCGTGAGAGGTGGTGTCCGGCCCACACTTCGCCACGCCGCTCGGTTTCTTTTGTCGAAGAGTACCCATCGCTCGCTTCATTGGAACTCTTTGCGCTCCGCGTTTCAAGAGTTTAGGAGCATCATCTCCCCACGACCGAAAGTGGCAGAATATAACATCACATTTCATTCACTCAATCCACGCAAAAACCTCAAGCTTCACATGCGTTCTGGGGCAGCGAGGTTTTGTGGGTTATCGCGTCTTTCCAGGACACCAGTCGATTTGTAAGTTATTTTATTTCAGGAATATCAAGGGTGGTCCAACGTTCCGTGACAACGAAGCAGTGGCCATGTAACACAAGACAGACACAACCTATCAGAGTTTAATATCGCATATGACAATCCCATAACCTATTCCCATATACAGTATCTGTTTAGGATATCAGTAGTTTAAATGAACAGAGGGCGGGGTTTAATTTCAGCCAGGCCTGTGTTCGGGGTCACCGACCTGAACAAAAATATATCCGCACCCGGCACACCACATCCAGTATACCCCCGTCGCTTTGCCTGCGGCTACCAGCCGCGTGCCACCTTGTCTCACCACAGCGACACGCGTCAATATCATCGTTCGCGACTGCGGCGCCTCTGCTGCATTGTGCCGGCAAGCGTCCGGAGGGCGCGAAACGTCGGACTACGTGCCGGCCAAGGCGCGACATGACCAGAAGAGCGAGCGAGACAGACGCTCGCTCCAAGGTGGACAGATTACAAGTTGCCGCTCGGGTGATTCGATTCCATGCCCTCCGGAGCCGCGTCCGCAGCCGAGCCGACGAAGCTGCCCGACCAAACCCGCTCGTTCGTCGCGTAGCGGAGTGGATCGGCGCACCGAGGAACGTAGCAACCAGTCGCCGGCTCGCCGACTGCGTCGCACCGGCGATGCGACGCGTCGCTACGAATCGCCGAGCCAGGCCGACGCTTGACAGCCGCGTCCGCCTCGACCGCGAGAGCGGCAGCGACAGGTTCTGCGCCGCTGCTCCCTGCAACCGGTTGCAGAGATGTGATTGAGTCGCGCGCAATTTGGTTGCACGCGACTCATCGCTCGCGTGTTGGGCCCCGGTTGATCGATATTGCTCTCGCCGAGTTCTGCGATCGGTAACACGGGAGAGACGGGGGGTGTCGCAGTGCAACACATTTAGCCCTCGCCACTAGTAACTACTCCCCCACTAACCCCTCACCCCCCTCTAACGTTGCGTAAACATCGTTTCTGAACCAGCAGAATAGCAAAAGCGTTTGGCTTCGTTCTTCTTCTCTCGTCTAGAACATTCCCCAAACTCCGCCACCCTCCGACAACTCTCTCGCGATCTCCATCCCTGTGCCCGCACAAGAATGGAAGACGAGGCTGACAGAGCGCCGCTTAGAAAGCGTAAAACAAAAAAAACTACTGTCGTCATCACCGTCACCACCGTCACCAGCGGCGTTGAGGCCCACAAAGTCGCTGGGACGTTGCCGTCCTCACCAAAACGGCAGAGGCGCTGCCCTGCAATTTTCTGCTCGCGCCCCTGCTGGCGGAAGGGCCGTCTTCCCCACAACTCCTGGAGGCAAGCTCCCGAGGGAGAGTCGCTCCGTACAGAAGGTGCTTTGGCCTACTCATCCTCCACGCGGCCCACGTGGGGGGACGAGGTGGGCTTGACCCGCTCCGGGACGGCCACGGCGCGTGGCCTGCCGATGGGACGCCCCTCTAGCGGACGCCGCTGTACGCAGCACAGCAAGTAGGATCGGCAGAGGGGTCGGCGACGTCGCTGTAAACAAGACTAACGCACCGACGCTGTCCGTATGCGACGCGCACGCACGCGCGCGCTGAACGTACGCTTACAAATCAACGTTCGCACACGGAATGTCCCACTGTACCGCGGAGCGATAAACAACAGAGAAACAGGTATCACCCAGTCACCGCGATATACGTACAAGCACGGTCGCACCGTAGCGACTGCAGCGGTGTATCCACTGCTTTTTCTCCCACTGCTGACGCTGAAAATAAGCGGGTGCGCGACCTGTGTACGCTTGGTCCTGGCCGTCCGATTGTCCACGATTACTTAGTGCCACAAACGAGCGGGAAGTAAAATCGCGAATAACAGGACGCGCGACATCGGTCCCCCACATCACCACGTGGTAAGAGGAACTCTCCTGTGCAAATAGAAAAAAATGGCCAATAATTACCCAGGGAAATGCCGCGGTGAGTCTCAAGACTCTTTCACCAGGAGCGTCCTGCAATGGGATGTTTGACCAAAGCAACGATGACCAAGGAGTGTTCGGCTTCATGTGGGAGAAAGCCTGGAGAGCCCGGAGACAACTCACGTCTACACCAAAGCGGCTGGCAAGGCCCTGGTGATGGTCTCCCATCCGAGTACTAACCAGGCTCAAAATCCCTGCTTAGCTTCTGAGAACACGACGAGGTTGGGCGCGGTCCGGGCAGGTTTGGTCTCTAGCTGGGCACCCAGATAATTGATCGAAATTCTGGATTCTTGGCACGAGAGGGAAAGTGCATTAATTGGCTTCGGAGAAGGCATTCTTCTCCCCCCTGTGGATGCCTTCTACAGGACTTTGGCACCTTGGCACTTGCAGTAGCAAAGGCAAATTGTTTGTGTGTGTAGCACTATGCGCTGCCCACGACACTACCGCTCCACAACAGCCTGTTACAAGCTCTACGGCGACCTTTGTTTTAATATATAAACGCCGAGCAGTAACCCTGCCACCACTCGGCACAATCGGTAGGCAACGGTGAAACTTAAAACGCCTCAAAACAAAAACCCCAAATTTTCGCTGTTGGCTTGAAAAAGCCCCTACGGCCCACGTCAAAGTCAAAGCGGCCCAATTATTCGTTTAAAAAAAGTTACCTAAACCTCTTGTTACACACTCACGTAAAAAAAAAAATACCGTTTACAGTTATCGAGATGAAATGGTAAATTATATTCCAGCTGGCTGGAGCCGGCTTCGACCGGATAAATCCCACATGCCTTTTCCACTGCACAACCGAGCCGTGCCGGGGCCGTGCCGAGCCAGCCTGGTGCACGTTTCAAGAGGCGCCCGGTGGTTTATCCACTGTAGAAGCCAAGCCGAGCCGTGCCGTGCCGTGCCACCGACTTCTCGTGCCGTGAACGGGTCGAGCCGCTCGTAGACGCCGCGGTTACACGTCACACTTTCTTGACTACTGCAACGTTACACACATCCAACGCGTCGCTAGCCACGCCCCTGGCCCTGCTTGGCCCCGAGCCAGATTCAGACGTCGTATTGTGAGGCAAGCGGTGGTGCCACGTTTTGGCTCCCTGCTCGGCTCGGCAAACATCCAGTGGGGAAAACAACAACTGTACCGTGGCTGGCTCGGCTCAGATGTGCCGGTGGAAAATGCTCACCTGACCTATAGTGTTTATTTTACAGAGATGTATGCTGCTGATAATCACTGCAGCTGGGCATTAACGGCAAGTCCATTGGAGTCGACACAGCCAGGAGACCCGACCCACTGCCAGAACAGTGGACATTCAAATTTTGGGGATCAACTCATAACCTCATCATCCCACTAAGGCTTCATTAAAGTGAATACATCTTCGTGGGCAACCAAACAGTGGACACATCGTGCATGGTGTGGCTCCCACCATAGGGATGTGGGATTTCCACCACTGGCCCAGACCGGTGAAAGGAGACGGGGCCGTGACGCTTCTGCGGAAGTCTCTGCCCCCCGAGGCCCAGCGTCCCGCCACGCTCGCGTCCGGCAACGTCCAGCGACCCGCGCGAGGGCGGCAGAGAAGCGGACGTGGCGCTGCCCTCTACCCCCGGGGGCCCACGGGGTCCATGGGTGGCGTCCGACGCGCCCATGAGGAGCCCTCGCCGCCGCCGCCGCCGGCGCTTAGCGTGCGTCTCTGTTCCGGCTGATCACGACCGGCTCGTACGGCCCGGGCGAGATCCTGACAGGCGAGACGGCGCACGGGGACCGGCAGGCATCGTTACGTGCTGGCGCTGCGGTGATGTTACAATGCATGATGGGAAGATCGATCGTGGTGTCGCAATCGGGGTTTTGTGTGTTTTTTTTACACAGTTGCTGGGTGCCGGTCCAAAGGCCCAAAGCGCTGAGCGGCCAGCGATAAACAGTGCTGTCAAAGATGTTGTAGATGAGAGTGTAACACGTATCTTGAACTGAGCGAGGGTTTTGTTATGAGAGCTTGGGGGGAACAGAGACGATGGAAAGGAATTCCAGAGTGCAGCGGTGCGAGGGAAAAAGCGGAGTTGGTGAGTGCTTGTGTCAGTGGGTGAGTAAGTGGGTGGGGAGTTGGCGAGTGAGTGTGTTAGTGGTTGAATGAGTGGGTAAGTGAGAATGTCAGTGGATGAGTGTGTCAGTGGGTGAGTGTGTCAGTGGTTGAGTGAGTGGGTAAGTGAGTATGTCAGTGGGTGTGTCAGTGGGTGAATGAGTAGGTGAGTGTGTCAGTGGGTTAGTGAGTGGGTGAGTGAGTGGGTGAATGGGTGAGTGCATGAGTGAGTGATAATAGACTGGGGTAGGTGGTGGGTGACTTTAGTATCCACAGCGAGAGGGTATACTGGATGCAGTTTGCCAGGTGAGCAAATATTTTCTGGGTCGCTGTTAACAGAATTAGTAGGTGACTATTGGCGCTATGGCCCGTGGTATCTTATATTTTTCTTTTCAAGGCCGCACACACACATGCAACGCACGCGGTGCGAGTACAGCATGCAGTGTACGCGTGTTTATGTTATATGTTATACTTGTGCACATTATATGTTACACGTGTGTATGTCGCATGTTTCACGTGTGTACGGTATATGTTACATGCGTGTATGTCGCATGCTGCACGTGTGTACGTTATATGTTACACGCGTGTATGTCGCATGTTGCACGTGTGTACGTTATATGTTACACGCGTGTATGTCGCATGTTTCATGTGTGTACGTTATATGCTGCACGTGTGTATGTCGCATGTTTCATGTGTGTACGTTATATGCTGCACGTGTCTACGTTATTTGCTGCACGTGTGCACGTGACGCGGCTTACCCGTTTGCGATCTGGTGGCCGCGCAGTTCCCACGTCCCGTCTCGGCCGACGAAGAGAGTCAAGCCGTCCTCTGTGGGGAGCGAGCAGAACACAAGGGGATGGGCCCGACCCTGACGCTCACGGCCATAGCGCCGAGTGGAACATTTGCTCGGCCGCGTCGGGCGGCGGAGGGGACGTGACGACACGAATTTGGTGTGATGGTTACGTGGGCTTAACCCGCCCCCCCCCCTTCGCAATTTTTTTTTACAAATTCATCGACGGCAATTTGAAGAAGAGACGAAAATCTACAAATACAAAAACGTTGAGGACAAAAAGGGCACGAGACAGACCTTCGTTGGTGCTCTTGGCCGTGAAGTCCTGCATCTGCAGGATCTGGTCCACCACGTCCACCGCGTCCACCCGCGTCTCGTCCACCCGCGACTCCGGCCTCTCCGCCGCCTCCGGCGGACGCCTGCGCACGCTGACGGACACACAAAGATAAAGACAAAGACCCCCCGTGTAGCCTTGACAGACTGTAGGGGCAAGTGCTGTTAGCGAGCACCTATGAAGGCCGCAACGGTACACGAACGAGGGGGTGGGTGGCGAGCGCCACGCTCGACCGCCTTTGTCTCCCCAGTGGCGATGTTTACACACCGCACCGGGTAACTCATTTCAGGCCGAGTCGACCTAGGGGAGGCCCAGGACCGGTTTAGATCATCGTCACCGGTGTTTGGCCGTGAGCGGAAATCAAACCCGGGTCGCCAGGTTCGTAGCGCTGACCGCTACACACACAATCTTGATTTGAAGCTTTCGTGACTGCAGGAATCCATGGTTATGCTAGAGAGTATGCTACACAGACAAAGATCCCCCGTATAGCCTTAACAGACTGTAGGGGCAAGTGCTGTTAGCGAGCACCTATGAAGGCCGCAACGGTACACGAACGAGGGGGTGGGTGGCGAGCGCCACGCCCGACCGCCTTTGTCTCCCCAGTGGCGATGTTTACACACCGCACCGGGTAACTCATTTCAGACCGAGTCGACCTAGGGGAGGCCCAGGACCGGTTCAGATAATCGTCACTGGTGTTAGTCGTGAGCGGGAATCGAACCCGGGTCGCCAGGTTCGTAGTGCAGCGCTGACCGCTACACACACAATCTTGATTTGAAGCTTTCGTGACTGCAGGAATCCATACTCTTTGGTTATGCTAGAGAGTGTGCCACACACACAGACACACACACAGACACACACAGACACACACAGACACACACACAGCGTGCACGGCACCTGCACAACACCGGCCTCTCTCGGCACCTTTTGCTGCACGCGTGGCCCTGGCGGTGACATTCATCGGCGGCTGGACTCGCAGAGAGGGGCAATTACCAAGTATTCTTATGTTTTTTCGGTAAGGTCACGTAGGTAAAAAATTTTAATTAATAAAAGTAAAACCTAAGAATATGAATCCTTGCAGTCACGAAAGCTTCACATCTAGAATTAATTACCAAGGATGGCCACCGGGCGGCACTGCTGCACCATTTCCCGAAGAGGACACCACGGAGTGAACCTCCTCCTCCTCGACCTTGGCAACGCCTTCGTCAGGACCGCCGTGGGCCGGGCAACGTTTTGGGCCATGGCCCTTCTTCATGGCACATGAATTAGGGCCATTGCCTGAAACGTCGGCTATTTTTTACTTTTACTTTTGAAGGTCCAGACTTACAGTGTTACTGACACGTGCGTGTGTGTGCATCACTGTGGGGAGCGGTAGTGTAGTAACACGTTAGGCTTTCGCGTCCAATATCATTCAAAATACAGGTTTTTTTTGGGTTAGATCGCGTAAATACATAAATGTGTCGTTAAACTCGCCACCACCCGACACAGCTAACAGTAAGAGTTGTCACTTAAACAGAACAACCCAGAAAACCTGTATTATGGTGGTGTAGCGGTTAGCGCGCTGCGCTACGAACCCGGCGACCAGGGTTCGATTCTCGCTCACACTAGTGACGATTATCTGAACCGGTCCTAGGCCTCCCCTAGGTCGACTCAGCCTCTTTGTGATCCACCGACCCTGGTGCAGGGCTGCACTTCAACTGAACTGTACTAATAATGCCCCTTTATTTACCCAGGAAAAACCATGACTCTCAAGAATAATTTTCAAGAGGGCCCCGCATTAAGATGTTTGTCTAATTCCATCACTGAGTGCTTGGCTTTAATGTCTACATTTAAATCATCGCCGTCATCGTCAGCCATGATCAATCCACTGATGGGTGAAGGCCTCGCTAAGACACCGCCACCACAACCGTTGCCACCTCCGCCACCACTCACGAATCCATCCTGCACCTGCTACACGTGAACTACCGCGCTCCGCAAATATTTTGGTCGGGAAATTCGATTTTTTTTTTTGACACCGCGATCCCCGCGTCAGAAACGCCACGACGGCCGTGGCGCCGGCGTCGCCAGAGGGCCCGGCGTGACGGCGTGACGGCGCGGAGGCAGCCGTGGCACCTTGCGGGCGGAGGAGGCCGTGGAGGCAGCCGGTTCCGGCCCCGCGCCGGTGCGGCGCCGTGCGGCTGGCTCGCGATCCACGGGGTCGACGCGGACGCCGTGATGGCCGCCGCCTTGTGCAGCGGCGACGCGGGGCCCGGCATGAGGTCAGAGGTGCTGGAGGAGCCCGAGTGCTCCGTGCTGTAGCCTGCGGGCGGGGAGAGCGGGCGGGGAGACCGGGAATGGCCCAACGAGCCGTGAGGTGCCGTTCTGCGGCTCACGGTCGGGGTCACCTCCCCCGCCCGAGGGCGAATCGAGGCTTTGGTGCCCGGTTACAGGCCTGCGGGGACCGTGGTGGAAATGCCACGTTGCTATGGCTGGCGCAAGTCTATCCAAAGTACAGACAAGTACAAAGTCCTATCAAGCCCCGCACAGCGCACAAGTGGGTGGTGAGGTCACACCACACGTGGCAGCCTTCGTCTCCTCCCCAGTGCTGATGTTTTACACACCTCACCAGGTACTTTACTCATTTAGGGTCGAGTCGACCTAGGGGAGGTTCAGACATCGCCGCGGTTGCCGCCTGTCCCCGTTTGACCCGGGCAGTGCGGGAATCGATTTGTGCCGAGATGTGGGACTGTACCGGCATTACGGTGAACTCCAACAACAACAACAACAAACAAAAACAACAAACAACAACAAGAAACTGCAGCTTCCGATGCTCCCTTAGAACAACCCCCATCTCTTCCCCCCTAGCCCAGCATCATCCTGACACTGCTACTCCCTGCCCCCGCCCCCAGCTATGACCAGGCCCCATCATTATCACTACCCCTCCCACTCAACTCAACCCCTATAACTACCCCAACCCCTATCACTACCCCTCCCACTCAACTCAACCCCTATCACTACCCAAACCCCTATCACTACCCAAACCCCTATCACTACCCCTCCCACTCTCCCACCACTATCCCTATCACTACCCCAACCCCTATCACTACCCCAACCCCTATCACTACCCCTCCTTAACCACTCCCACCTGTCCCCCTAACTTGTCACCATAACTTCACCACTTTTAATAACCCCACTGCTTTACCGGCCACTCTCGTCTTATGTACAATTTCATAATTGCTGCAAAGCGCCTTTGAATTTCGGTGCTCCGTAAATGCAGGGTAAGACAGGGCAGGCCTGCTGCTGACTCAGAAGCGCGCGAGGGTCGGGTCTGTGGTGGGGACGGGTGACGAACCCAGGCACGAGCTCCACACCGGAGGAGGGTCGGCCGTGAGTGGAGACCCCGGGACTCCAGCGGGCGGGCGGACGTCGCGTTACCGGATGTGCGGAGACCGTGCCACTCGATGGCGGTGTAAAGCTCGCAGCTGTTCTCCAAACACTTGGCCCAACTTTTCCGAAATCAATTTCCCCCGCTGGTTGTCGATTGTGCGACGCGCGGCGTGACCCCCGCTGCCAGGGAGGGGCCTTGCCGTGCCGTCCGCGTGAACGGAGCACCGAGGGGTGGAGTGGGAAGTGTTCACTACCTCGCCTGGTATACAGGAGGTTGTGGGTTCGATCCCGACCCTGACGCCTGCTGCTGTATATTTTGAATTTGCGTGTCTCTCTCTCTCATCATCATCATCATCACGGTAGCTAGGAGATGTTAACTACCTCGCCTGGTATACAGGAGGTCGTGGGTTTTATCTAGACCCTGACGCCTGCTGCTGTATATTTGGAATTTGCGTGTCTCTCTCTCTCTCATCATCATCACGGTGGCTAGGAGATGTTAACTACCTCGCCTGGTCTACAGAAGGTTGTGGGTTCGATCCCGACCCTGACGCCTGCTGCTGTATATTTGGAATTTGCGTATTCTCCCTGTGGTCGCGTGGATGTCTCCCCGGTTTGTCCCTCCGCATATTTAAACACACGTTTCGAGTATTCGGCTGCTGTAAATCTCCACTCGATGATAATTCCATTTCCGTTGAGCTATCGTTTGCGATAGCCACGTTGCTTCTGAAAAAGAGCTACATAGCCCAGTGGGGCCTTCCATGTTAAAGTAAAAACAGCTCAGTTCATATTGACAGCCGGGACGGTCCGTAAAGCTGTTATCCGGAACTTGCGTCGGCACGCCACATTATTCTAGCCTAATTCTGTCCTCGCTATGCCCTAGACTCCCACAAAGCTGTTGTTCATAGAATTCGAGGAATGGAGGAGGTACAATAATAAAGTGTTATAACGGAGAGGGATACTTTGTACGCGAGTAGTAGCGCATTATACTCCCAAGCCGGCCCAGCAGCGTTCGGGGAAATGTCCAGCGAGCAACGCAACGCTGTTGCATCTTGATGACTCAGCTCGTTTACCCAGAAGAGCCTCGCTCACAGAGTCTCAAGACTCCTTTTCAGGAGGGTCCTGCCCAGTGTTCGCGGGAGCGCGTGACGACGCCGTGTGATCCCATCGCGCTGATTTGCCGGTAGTTTTTTTTATCCCAGCAGCGTCATGTGTGGCCACGACACGAGTGACACCACGAGTCGTGACATGCTCACCGGACACACGCGACCGCTCACTGGACACTCGCGACAGCTGACGGCTGCAGTGGCTGGGGCCGCGGGACGGCAGTGTGAAGTAGCCGTCCTCGGGGCTCGGCAGCGGTGACTGCGACGAGTTCACAAGGGCTGTGGCCGTGGCGAGAGGGAGAGAGAGGGTGAGAGAGGGTGAGAGAGGGTGACAGAGAGAGAGGGTGAGAGAGAGAGGGAGGGTGAGAGAGGGAGAGTGTGAGCGGTGAGATTCAACAAGAGACATTGCGCCACCCTCTCGCAATCCAGCACCTGCACCTGCGCACCAACTACATCCACGGACATTTGTGTCGGGAATTGTCATCAAAACACTCGGCGATGCTTCGCCATGACGGACTGCGCGATCGCGACGGGTCCCGCGCCGTTCGTTCCGATCGTCGTGGCGGGCGGAGGAGGTGCGCAGGCGGCAATTTGAGAAACTCGCCACCGTCGTTTCAACCGCGCCGGTTCGATTCCGTCTCCCGGCGCGCGCCCTGGATCGCGAGCCTGGGCATTCGGAAGGGGCACGGACGTCAGTGTCTGAATATTGACGAACGTTGGTTCCTAGGGAGAACCACTCATCCTACCGAGAACCACTGATCTAGGGGGAACCACTCATCCTACTGAGAACCACTCATCCTACAGAGAACCACTCATCCTACTGAGAACCACTCATCCTACTGAGATCCACTCATCCTACCGAGAACCACTGATCTAGGGGGGACCACTCATCCTACTGAGAACCACTCATCCTATTGAGAACAACTCATCCTACCGAGAACCACTCATCTTACTGAGAACCACTAATCCTACTGAGAACCACTCATCCTACTGAGAACCACTCATCCTACTGAGAACCACTCATCCTACTGAGAACCACTCATCCTACTGAGAACAACTAATCCTACTGAGAACCACTCATCCTACTGAGAACCACTCATCCTACTGAGAACCACTCATCCTACAGAGAACCACTAATCCTAGAGAACCACTCATCCTACTGAGAACCATTGATCTTACTGAGAACCACTCATCCTACTGAGAACCACTCATCCAACTGAGAACCACTCATCCTACTGAGAACCACTCATCCTACTCAGAACAACTCATCCTACTGAGAACCACTCATCCTACTGAGAACCACTCATCCTACTGAGAACCACTCATCCTATTGAGAACCACTTAACCTACCAAGAACCACTGATCCTACTGAGAACCACTGATCCAAGGGGGGACCGAAGGGTTCCTCGCCACGTGTGAGCTCACCACGAGGCGAGGGAGTGCCTCAAGTGCCCATTCTCTCAGAAGAGGCAAACAACAGTGGCTGGAATGAAGCCAGACCGGAGAGATGCACGGCATTGTGGGCGCGCTTCGGAGACGGGGGAGGGGTGGGTGGGTGAGTGGGTTAGAGGAGGGAGGGATGTTGGGGGTGAGTGGGTGAGCAGGTGGGTGGGTGAGTGGGTTAGAGGGTTAAGGGGAGGGAGAAATGGTGGGGGCAGGGATGAGTGGGTTAGAGGAGGGAGGGATGTTGGGGGTGAGTGGGTGAGCAGGTGGGTGGGTGAGTGGGTTAGAGGGTTAAGGGGAGGGAGAAATGGTGGGGGCAGGAGTGAGTGGGTGAGTGGGTTAGAGGGTTAAGGGGAGGGAGAGATGGTGGGGGCAGGGGTGAGTGGGTGAGTGGGTTAGAGGGTTAAGAGGCGGGAGAGATGGTGGCGGTGAGTGAGCAGGAGGGGGGGGGGGTGAAGGCTGCCGGTATTCGGCGAGGCGACGTCGCCGCTCCAAGCCGGCCAGGGTCACCACCACGGACGTTGGCACACCGCACAGCCCCCTCAGCACCCCCCCCCCGGGGCATAGGAACACCACGCCCCGCTTGAAGAGCAGATGAGGGTGATGATGACGATGGTGGTGGTGGTTATGATGATGGTGGTGATGATAGTGGTGGTGGTGGTGATGATGATGGTGGTGGTGATGATGGTGGTGTTGATGGTGGTGGTGATGATGATGAAGATGACGATGATGGTGTTGGTGATGATGGTGGTGGTGATGATGATGATGACGATGGTGGTGACGACGACGTTTGGTGGTGGTGATGATGATGACGGTGGTGATGATGATGATGGTGGTGGTGATGATAATGATGGTAATGATGATGACGATGGTGGTGGTGATGATGATGATGACGTTGGTGGTGATGACGATGGTGGTGATGATGATGATGATGACGATGGTGGTGGTGACGACGACGACGATGTGTTAGTTTGTGTATTCGTTTCTCCACGAGGTCACGGCCAAGTTGCGGTGTCCCCCTGCGCCTCCGCAAAGTGGCCCTGAGTCAGTGGTGGAAATTCCACATTCCTATGGCTAGAACGCGTGCGAGACGACTCACGTCTACTCGTTCATTCCGTGCGAGGTTTTACTTTTTTTCCGGGCGATCCGTCACCCCCCCCCCCCGTCTTGTTTACAAACGCGTCCCCGTTCTGGAATGTTTTGTAAGTTGCGGTTTCGTCACATTTTTGTCCGTCCTGGAAATAATAAAGTGTGTCTCCGGGCGGCATAGCTGCTGCTGCTGCCACTGCTGTTGCTACACGCGCTACAGCTGTTGCCGCTACTGCTACAGCTGCTGCTACAGCTGTTACAGCTGTTGCTACACCTGGTAGTACAGCTGTTGCCGCCACTGCCACAGCTGCTACAGCTGTTACCGCTGTTACCGCTACTGCTACAGCTGCTGATACAGCTGCAACAGCTGCTGCTACACCTGTTGTACAGCTGTTGCCGCCGCTGCTGCAGCTGCCGCAGGCCGTTCCCCGCAGGCGTGAACGAGAAGACCGCGGCCACCCCAAAACGCTCCACTCGCTCCCCGCCCCCCGTTCTGATCTGAGATCAACTTCAAGAGTCTCGCTCACCGTCTTGGAGCTCCTCCATTGCCTCTCCTGCGAGCCCCAGCGACGCTCGACGCATCCTACCCAAGCCCACTCCACGGTCCTCTGTAAGGCCAACGCACGGCTGGCCGGGGTACGTGCATGCGTGCGTTCCCTAATCCCCATCTTCCTCTCTCTGACTTCCACGGTCATTCCCAGCACGTGGCTCTGCACGCTTCTTCGCGCACTTTTTTGTTCCACTGTGATTACGAAGGCGAACAACGAGTGGAGCCACCGCCGCGATCCTGGCCTCGCGATCCACAGGTCACCGGTTCGAGTTGATCTCCAGGCGCGGAAGTTTAAACGTCGGGGCAAGTGTCCTAAAGTGCCCCCCCCCCCCCGCCGCCTCGACTGACTGTCAAATCAGCGGTGTAAACGGCACAGTTAGTCCCTTGGGCAGGTCGCGTAGCGGTGGGGTAAATTGTGGGTACTCCCAGCTCTTCCGAGACATCTGCCCAGCGTGAAACAGCAGACCAACTACCCTCTCGAGGGTCGCTGTTCCAGCGGAGGCCCCAGCAGTGACGCGAGCGAGCGAGTGCAGGGGCCGCGCCTTTACCTTGTGCTAATCACCATTCACGAATTCCGGTTTTTCGAAATGCGCGACGCGAGCGGGACACGGGCGTAATGCTGACGCTGGGGTGACGCTGGGGTGACGCTGGGGTGACGCTGGGGTGACGTGAGAGTGACGCTGGGGTGACACTGGGGTGACGCTGGCGTGACGCTGGGGTGACGTGAGAGTGACGCTGGGGTGACACTGGGGTGACGCTGGCGTGACGCTGGGGTGACGCTGGAGTGACGCTGGGGTGACACTGGGGTGACGCTGGCGTGACGCTGGGGTGACGCTGGAGTGACGCTGGGGTGACGCTGGGGTGACGCTGGGGTGACGTGAGAGTGACGCTGGGGTGACACTGGGGTGACGCTGGCGTGACGCTGGGGTGACGCTGGAGTGACGCTGGGGTGACGCTGGGGTGACGCTGGAGTGACGCTGGCGTGACGCTGGAGTGACGCTGGGGTGACGCTTGGGTGACGCTGGAGTGACGCTGGGGTGACGCTGGGGTGACGCTGGGGTGACGCTGGAGTGACGCTGGGGTGACGCTTGGGTGACGCTGGGGTGACGCTGGCGTGACGCTGGAGTGACGCTGGAGTGACGCTGGGGTGACGCTTGGGTGACGCTGGAGTGACGCTGGGGTGACGCTGGGGTGACGCTGGGGTGACGCTGGGGTGACGTGAGAGTGACGCTGGGGTGACGCTGGGGTGACGCTGGGGTGACGCTGGGGTGACGCTGGCGTGACGCTGGGGTGACGCTGGAGTGACGCTGGGGTGACGCTGGCGTGACGCTGGGGTGACGCTGGAGTGACGCTGGGGTGACGCTGGGGTGACGCCGGGGTGACGCCGGGGTGACGCTGGTGCGACGCTGGGGTGACGCTGGGGTGACGCTGGTGCGACGCTGGGGTGACGCTGGGATGACGCTGGCGTGACGCTGGCGTGACGCTGGGGTGACGTGAGAGTGACGCTGAGGTGACGCCGGGGTGACGCCGGCGTGACGCTGGCGTGACGCTGGGGTGACGCTAGTGCGACGGTAATGCGACACTGGTGCGACGCTCGTCTCACCGAGCGGCAGCACGGACGGGCGCGGGGTGGCCGCTCGCGCCAGCCTCAGCGAGCTGAAGCCGCGGGACAGGGCGGAGGAGGAGGAAGAAGCGCCGGCGGTGGCAGAGGCAGCGCTGGCGGCGGCGCTGGAGTTGGCGCAGGGAGACTCGCCGCGCAGCGCCGGCTGCAGAGGCTCCTCGACCGCGACGCCGACGGCGCTGGCCACCGGCGGACTAGAGCCACGGCACCGGACAAACAAGAGCGAGGAATTAAAACCGTGCACGGGCATGGATGCAACGCTCTCCGGCAAGCGCTCGTCCCCGGAGGTGTTTCAATCGGCGACCATGGCAATCAGCTGCCAAGCGGCACGACCGGGTGACGTCATCACGAGATGACGTCACGGCGAGATGACGTCATAGCAGGGTGGCATCATAACGAGTTGACGTCACACGCGGGGAGGCGAGTGACTTCATCGCCTTGGCCGAAAAGGCTCATCGGAAACCCCTATCCGTTCGGTGGTAACCGTTGCGAGTAGAATTGCGGAGGGTGAACGGGCCAAAGGTTCCTGAGCGAAACGTCAGACATCGCGCCGAACAACACAGAGCAGCGCGAATGCAAAAACACGTCGGGGCAGCGGACGCGTGGACAAGACCCCGCGTGAACTTGGCGGTCGATGCAGGAGTGGCCGCGCGATAAGAGAGCTCCACTCCGCTCGTGCACTCTGCTATATTTGGTGAAGTGAGGAGGTCACCGCCCTGCGGCATCGTAACAGAAACAACCGGCCTCCCTGTGATGACGTCGTTGTCAGCCATGGTCATTCCACTGCTGGACAAAGGACCCCCCCCCCCCCCATGTTGTTGCCATCCGTCACGATCCAGTAATGCAACAATCGGATTTCACCGCTCTGTCTCGCGTCCTCCCGGGCGCGTTCCGTTCCTTGGCCGTCGTAATTCTGCGCCATCGTCCCCGCAACAGCGTCATGTAGCCCTTCGTACGCTCTCCAACCCACGTGGTGTTCCCCTCCCTGCCATCTCCCGGTGTCGTTACCAGCGTGCGTCACTCTCCACGCTTCTTTGCCGCACTTTTCCGATTTTGTTTGTTTCATATATTTTTTTATTCGTTTGTTTCCCGGAGAACGACCGCGTCTGCGTGCCACGTGCCGTGGTGCCGTGCCCTGTAACCGAGTGTCAGGTTCTATCCGCTGCGTCTGTGCGGTCGCCGTGGGAGACGATGGGACTCACGTTTTGAAACACGGGTCACCAGAGAGGAGGTGCATCCCGATGGTCACCTGAAGGTCAAGGATGGAGACATCGTCGTCATCATCAACGGTATCATCGTCATCATCATCTTCGCTGGTATCATCATCGACAACACTGTTATAATCATCGTCATTGTTACTGTTGAAATCACTGTCATCATTGCCGTCAACCAAAGAGTATCATCGTCATCTTCACTGTTATCATCGTCAACATCGTCAACATAAATCATCACTGCCATCTTCATCATCTTCGTCGCTGTTATCATCGTCACTCTCACTGTAATCACCACCATCGTCATCAAAACTTGTATCATCGTCATCATCTTTACTTTACTCATCATCATTACTGCTGTAATCATCGCCATCCTCACTGTTAATCACCAATAACATCCTAATCAATATTGTCATTATCATAATTGCTATTTCAAGCGTTGCAATAATCCTCATCATTGTCATCATCATTACAATCCTAATCATCATCACTCTTGGGGTCATCTAATGCCCTTTAAATAATCACTTCTGTCATCATCATCTAATATTTCAATGCACTTCCCACGTCATTGAAACTGCTTTTTGTGTCTAGTTTGTTATCCTTCCCCGCACCTCCGATTAGCACGGTTGGCTACGTACGGTGCGAAAGAAGTTCAACATACATACATGCCCGGCCGCCTTTGTCTCCCCAGCACTGACGTCTACACACTACACCAGTTACTCATTTGAGGCTGAGTGGACACACCACGAGGATAAGTGTGCCCCGTATGGGGCAAGTGCTGTTAGCGAGCAGCACCTATGAAGGCCGGAACGGCACACGAGTGGGTGGTCAGCACCACGCCCGGCCGACTCCCTAGTGGCGATGTTTGCACACCGCAACCAGGCACTCGTTTACAAAGCTCTCGCGACATTGTTCCGCGTGTGAACCTAGATCTACAAACACAACAACAAAAAGAGCCACTCACTCTACAAGCAGCCAAGCAAGTAAACACAACCCCGACGTTTACGGTCAACACGGCCGCAAGCATTAACCAGGGCGGCCCGCGGGGATTCCGAACCGCTGCGGTGGCGGCATCACCTTGAGCGTGGAGTTGTCCTGGCGCGTGTGCTTGGTGTCGTAACCCTCTAGGAGGAACCGACGGCACGTGCTCCCCGAGCCGGCAAACTCCGCCAGGTTCACATCGGCGAAGCCCAGCTGCGGGGCGGAACAACGCGCGGTCAGCACTGGCAACGTGCGGGGGGGGGGCAGCCACGCAGCCTGACTGGGAACACGCGCGGGGGGGGCAGCCACACGGCACAACCGGGAACACGTGGGGGAAGAGCATCGCTCCCAAAACGGGCAGCAGCGCGTCGACCGCTCCGTCGCCGATATTCGCGGTTCGAAACCAGCGGCCGCCCCGGTTAACACTGCGGCGCGTGGTCGAGTATCCATGGAAGTAGCATTATGCACCGTCCGCTTCACGGCGGACGTCGAAGATCCCGCGATGCAATTCGCGAGAGTGGGCCGTCGTGCGCCGGCCGTGAAATCACTCAATCGGGGGAGCGCACGCAGCAACCGTCGCGGCCCACACTCCTGCGAACGCTCGGCAAGACCCTGCTGGAAGAGCCGTGAGACTCGGCGAGGCCTTTCCGGTCATAACAATCAAACAACCTTATCTTGACTGTAACTGCGAGACTTGTCCACAGACTTTACCCTCGCCCCCAACGACCCCGCCATTTGCACGGCGCAAGCTTATCACCGGCAGCCTCGCCCCAACCCCACCGACGATTTGTTGCGAGGACACTTCCTTCCCCGTGCAACGGACGCACCGATGAACCGCTCGTAAAACCCCCCGGACGGTGACCGCCGCCAAGGCCGCGTCAACGCCTCCGACGCAATGCCGAGCGAGCGGTGAAGGACGAGCGGCTCGCGATTAAAAACTAAAGCCAGGTGAGGCCCACTGAGCTGTACGGCTCTTTTTCAGAAGCGGCCTGGCCACGGATGATAGCTCACAAAGTGGCTTATTTATAGTAGCAGCCAAATACTGTAAGCCCACGTTTCGAAATGTGGAGGGGAAAAACCGGAAGATTCGGAGAAAAACCATGCAACCAACGGGGAGAACATGCAAATTTCAAATACAGTAAAACTTTAGATTGCGAGCATAATTCGTTCCGGAAACGTGTTTGTAATCCAAAGCACTCGTATATCAGTTGTGATCACGTGACGCTCGGCAGACAAAGCGTATACACGTACTACTCGTATTGCAAGACCTCGCTTGTTTATCAAATTAATATTTATTTTAAAAATTTGCTCGTCTTGCAAAACACTCGCAGTCCAAGGTTTTACTGTATAGAACTGTCAGGATCGAGATCGAACCCACGACCTCCTGCATAACAGGCAAGGTAGTTAATATATTTGAATGTCGTGGGTTCTATTCCTGGTTGGGGAGTGATGGGGGGGGGGCTGTCTCAGCCCATCATCCCGCCATAGGAATGTGTAATTTCCACTGCTGGCTCAGGACTGTCAACGGGATGTGACCATCGATGCATCGACGCTCACGTGAGCAGTGAAATTTGCTTGACTTCTTTGACTCACACGACTTGCCATTGAATGCGCAGCTTGTTCGAATTTTATATTGTATATTATAGCTATTGTATATTTTAGATTTTATTTTATTCAATTTTTACATACTTTAGCTCCTTAGTATTAGTTAGACTTGTACCTTTAGTATAGTTAGACTTGTAAACCACTTATTTACCACTTATTTAAGATTTAAGATTCCTAAATGTTGAATGTATGCACCTTCCGGCCAAAGTAAATTCCTAGTCTGTGCGAACTTTCATGGCGAATAAAAACCCCTTTCTGATTTCTAGTTCTGGCGTATAAACTTCCGGGACTAATCTCCGACACGGGGTGATCGACTGGCGGCTGCGGCACGATAGCGACGTGACCTCGGGACTTCAGAAGAGACGGCAACCTCAAGGTCTTACCTTGGAGTAGGTCTTCCCACCCTTGGTCTCCTACAGCGGACGGGGGTGGGGGAGGCACAGAGACAGACGATGGAGGAGTGGAACAGATGACTCGAGACAACCGTGGTGGCGTGGTGCTCGCGCGGGGATAGCGACGACACCGCAACGAGCTCATCAGTCACGCCGTGGCACTGGATGGATCACGTGTATCGGTGACGTTTTAGTCCCTGACCCTTCTGTAGAGCACCTCTCTGCAATCTGCCATGAACATGAAGAAGGGCCATAGCCTGAAACGTTATATAATTTTTATACGCTTTATATTTATTGAAAAGTACAAGGGGCCGGCCGAGGAAAACGGCGAAATAAGTCGCATAAGCAATTTGAAACGTCTGTATGCAACTTGGAGGAGAATCCGTTGAGTGACATCACGGACAGGGCCGAGTGAGAAACGGCGCGGCTCACACGGAGAGAGACAGCAGAGAGCGACCCTTGTCCCTTGAGGGCTCACACGGAGAGAGACAGCGAGAGGGAGATCCTAGTCCCTTGAGGGCCACGGGGTCAATGTCGAGGAGCGTGCAGGGAGTTGACACTTCGATCAAACATCGAGGTGAGGGGTGACAGCCCGAGGCAAGCTCAGATCAGACGAGGGCGCGTCTGACGCGATCCCGCGGCCACCGCTTCCACGGAGGCAAGACACCCGCTCGCGTCGGCCGCGTTTGCTCGAATTGATTTTGGTGGCAAATCGAAGAAGGCAACGGGACCACGATGCGTGCAGTTCCTCAGGAACTGGTGATGGGGCCTTTTTTTTTCTCTCCGTGAAACCAATCTGGGGAGGCGGGTGGGGGGGTCGGCGGAAGGAGCGCACGCTGGCGGCGGGCACCTTGCGCACGGACACGCGGAGCACGCACGGCTCCAGCACCCCCGTGGTGACGTTGGACGTCATCTTGCACGGGAACTCGAACGTCCGTCGCCACTGAACCGAGTTCTCCTCCACCTGCTCCCTGCGCTCGTCACGGAGACATCGGGGGTGGGGGTGGGGGGGAGGTGGAGAGGGGTGGGGGGCAGAATGAGTTTATTAATAAATGATCGTCACTTTCATAATTATCGCCATCATCGACGTCATCATTATAATCATCATCGTCGTCGTGATCATCATTTTCGTCGCCATAATCATCATCGTTATCGTCATCACCGTCATCATTGTACTCCCACGGTGCAATGACTTGGTGTTGTCCGTGAGCGGGAGTTCGTAGCGCAGCGCGCTAACCGCTACACCGCCACTCCCCACAATTTGTTACCACGGACACGAAAGCACACCCACCGTTCTTACCGACTCGCGCATTTGGGAAGCCATAACCTCGTAACGTTCCTACTCTGTAGCCTAAAGAGGAGATCCTCGCCTCTACGATGGGCCACTCACCAGAGGAGATTCAAGCGAGAAGCGTGACTTCTGCTGACGAGGCAGTGTGTGTCCAGAGGTTTTCTTGTATTGAATCAAATGCCGCTCAAATTGAGTCACTCCCAGAAGGCCGTGCCGCCGCTGGGCCGAGCAAGGCGCGTGCGTCGCATGCGCAGAGACGGCTCTGTGAAGGAGGCGACTTGTGCCGAGTGATATCCTTCGCCCTGCCCTGCCTCTGCGAGAACGCCTCTTGATTTCGGGCACCGCGGCTACGGTTCTAACACCTTAATCCGTACGCGCATTGTGCCACTCGCCTTTTTGATCGTCCTCTGGTCCAGCGCTGGTGAGACGAGGCCATGCAGATGGCTGCCTCTGGTGTGGGTCAATCAGAGTCAAAGACAATGCGCGTACAGAGCGAGTCTGTGTGCCTGTTGTGCCACAAGTTCGTGTGGTTAAATTTCGATTTCCGACAGACCTGAGGACGCCTGCTTGCGTTGTGGCCGAAACGTCGTGTGAATTGTATTTTATTATGTTTTATCTCATTTATTTTATTATTTCCCTTCTACGTGACTTTACCGAAAGAACCAAGGAGATGAATACGTGTGGTTGGTTAATGCAGAATTGACGCCTTGAATTAGGTGAGCTATCCATGTGGTGTTTGAACATCGTAACACCTCCAGTTTTATTGTCAGATAGGGTAGAGCCTATTCTTATGTTTGTTCGTCATTGTCTGTTGGTTTAACTTGTCGCACGCAGGGCCCTCCTCGTCCGCTCGTGTTTACAATGTGGATAGAAACCCGAACTCCATTCCGCTCCAGCGGAGACATCTCCGCATCTCAGCCAAAACGTCTCCGCGTCTTCGCCGAAGCGTTTCGTTCAGCATCTCTCTTGCGGTTCAAAGTTTGGTCATCCGCGTTCGTGTGGCTGAAGCCTGCCGTATTGCACGCTCTCCCCGTGGATTATAATCAACATCACGCGTTTTAGATTATTTGGCTGCTATCAAAAATAAAGTGCACCATAGACACCCCTCCCCCCATCCCCAACGACTCTGCACAAGTGTAAGAGCCTGTGGTGGCAACACACAGACCCTGTCCCATTGCCATAGCAGGGGGGGGGGGGTGTCTATGGTTGTGTGTTGAGGCTGTGCCTCTGTGTGAGTTTGTGTCCACTGCACAAACCATGGCAGCAGCAACAGCAGATGCGGTGATACTCGACGATGATGACAATGATGATGATGCACAAATGGGAGATTAAAACCTCAACGGCAGTGACCGGAGACCGTGGTCACACCACCACCACCACCTACTACGCTATCAGCATCCGGCGTGAGAAGGCGCTCATGCAGCAGTGGGCTTACAAACGAAGAGTGAATCATCGTAAACAATTCGTGTTAATTACTGTGAACATTGGTGATTCGCTGCTCGAATGACCATCGAGGCATCGGTGGACATCTCCCGTTGACAGCCTTTGCAGGTCCAATGGCTGGTTGGTGTACGGTGATTTTTCTGCAATATTTTGCTGTCTTTTCTTGGATTTTCTGTTTGCGCATAGTCACTTTAAGATGCATTCTTGTTCATCTTTTTGTTTTTTGTTTGTTGCGGTTGCACCCGATTCAAGAGCCGAATGGCTCACAGGGCTATACCTAATAAATGAACTTGAACTTGAACTCCAGTGGTGCAAATTCCACATTCCTATGACAGGGACGAGCCTCCCCGTAAAAGAGGCACCGTTGATCTTTCTCGCAAACTTGTTCCCGGTTTATCCCCACCACGGCTGGGAGGGAGATGATGGGTCGCGTCAACCAGGACTTGAACCCGCTGACCTTTTGCGTGACGGAGCCGCTCGTTCCACCAGCCGGCCCGGGTCGCTTGGACAACATTGGCCCCCGCGGATTAGCGGGGAGAACCAAATTCCTCGCGCGGCATTGTGTGCGGCGGATTACAGAGGGACATGGCGTCACGCCGCTTCAGCAGCAGCGCTGCGAAATGTGCGTTGAGCTCGGCTCGGAATGCGCGCTGCGTGGTACAGAGATTAGAGGGGAGCTGTCGAACGCAACCACCGTGGGTGTTGGGGTGCTTTCAGATCATCGTCGTTGACAGACATTATCAATCCACTGCTGGATGAAGGCCTCTCCCAATCAATTGCAGGGCTACACCCTTACATAAGTAATTGGTGTTTAGATTTTCTGGCAATAAAAGAGGTGTGTTAGGATGTTGAAACACCAAACTGAAACCTTTTGCGAGGAATCATGTCTGCATTGTTGTGATTTCCTACGGATGTTGCCCTCCTCCTCCTCCTACACGTTGAGAATCGAATCAACTCGCGCTTAGATGATTTGGCTGCTCCTATAAATTCGTAGGCGCTCGCTAACAGTACTTGCCCCAACAGTCTGTTGAGGCTATACGGGGGAACTTTTTCTGTGTGGGGTGTTAGGGGTATATGTGTGCGTTGGAGGTATGGGGGGAGCGGTGGTGTAGCGATTAGCGCGCTGTGCTACGAACCCGGCGAACCGAGTTTAATTCCCGCTCACGGCCAACACCAGTGATGATTATCTGAACCGGTCCTGGGCCTCACCTAGGTCGACTCAGCCTGAAATGGGTACCTGGTGCGGTGTGTGAAAACATCGCCACTGGGGGAGACAAAGGCGGCCGGGCGTGGTTGTTGGCTTTCATAGGTGCTACTCGCACACAGCACTTGCCCCAACAGTCTGTTAAGGCTACACGGGGGATCGTTGTCTTTGTTGGGGGTATATGTGTGTGTGTGTGTTAGGGATTCGTGTGTCTGTGTTGTGTGTTGTGTGTTCGTGTTGTGTGTGTGTTGTGTGTGTGTTATGGATTCGTGTGTGCGTGTTGTGTGTGTGTGTTAGGGATTCGTGTGTCTGTGTTGTGTGTCCGTGGTGTGTGTGTGTGTTAAGGATTCGTGTGTCTGTGTTGTGTGTCCGTGTTGTGTGTGTGTGTTAGGGATTCGTGTGTGTGTTAGGGATTCGTGTGTGCGTGTTGTGTGTGTGTTAGGTATTCGTGTGCCCGTGTTGTGTGTTAGGGATTCGTGTGTCTGTGTTGTGTGTCCGTGTTGTGTGTGTGTGTTAGAGATTCGTGTGTCTGTGTTGTGTGTCCGTGTTGTGTGTGTGTGTTAGAGATTCGTGTGTCTGTGTTGTGTGTGTGCGGCGCTTAGGAACACGAGGTATTTGTTGGTTTTCCGAGCGAAAGAAGTCTCTCTAAAGTTCCAAGGAACAAAGGAGGCTGCCTCCCTCCCACAGCAACCCTGCGCACTGTCAACCCGACCCCAACCGGCCCGCACTCGCCCCACCCACGGAGCCCGACACGCACAAGGAGTTAGGGCTACAGGGGGATGAAGGGGATGAAGAAGAGGTGGGGGGGTGGGGAGTTGCGATAATCGTGTCGAGGGGGTGATGTGGCCAGCACCACGCCCCGTCCGCCGTTGCCTCCACAGCGCTCGATGTTCACACGCCGACAAACTGGTAACTCTTTTCGCGACTCAAATTTCGACACCGCGACCGGGAATCGAGTCCGTGGGTTCATTGAACCTCTGCCGAGGCCATCTCTGCCAGAGCGTGGTTCGTGGCTGCCCAACGCTGCCACCACCAGGGGCTCTGCTTAAAGCGCGTTCGACCAAAGGGCGCTTTGCCATTCTAGAGCAGGGGTGGAAAACGTCCGGCCCGCGAAATCATTTGGGTCTGGCCCTGCCAAGGCAACCGCAGGTGGGACTCGAAATTCAATAAATCTAGGAGCAAACCTGGAAAAGCAGTTGCGAGTAGCAACATCATCAACACCAGCTAACATCATCACACGCCTCGCCAAAGAGAAGCAGTTCCAGCCATCGCATTAGGGGCGAGTTAATTAAATGTTTGACCAAATATAAGTCAAATGTTTAAGTTGATAATTTTGTATGGCCCGCGAATAATGTTATAAATATCCAAATGGCCCTTGGCAGAAAAAAGGTTCCCCACCCCACTCGAGATGATTCGCGTGGGTTTGGCTACGTACGGTGCGAAAGAAGTTCGAAGTCGAGTCCACACGGCTCTGATTGTATTGGTGGGCCCAAGGGCTCACGTCACGTCTGAGGATACGGCAACAAATCACATCGGGTGATTTCATTTATTTTAACAAACGTTCAAACGGACTTCCAATCACATTCATCCACTGCGTTCTCGTTCGTTCTCATTTCCAAATGAAAGGTTACAGGCGTCATCTTTGAACGTCTGTCGATTACATTTCGCCGTCTCAATCCACTCCGGGTTCTTGGTCGAGTTTCGTAAACGACAAATTTGAGGTGACCCCCCACAGGAAGAAGGAGATAAATGAATAACGACAATAGATGAAATATTAACGAATAAAAAATAAAGATGGGTTTTTTTTTCTTCATCTCAATGTTAACATTAATGAAATAACCCCCTGTGTGTCCTGGTTTTTGGGCGGCCACCCTGTACATTCCGTGAGAGATTCGTCCACGCAGACACGTGGCATGGCCTTAATCTAAGTTGTCTTGTGGTTGTTGTTGTTTGACTTGCATCCCACTGGGATTTTTGCACACAGTGTTGGTGTACGGTGCTTTTTCTGCAGCTGTCTTTTCTCAGATTTTCTG